TATATACCTTGTATCTCAAATTGTAAATCCCTAAACACTAAACCCGAGGTTCTAGTACAGGAAACAATAATAAAAGAAATACAACTAATCTCAGAGCATAAATATAGTGCCATGTCATAGCTTACACACGCATCTCGGTGTACATGTCTAGACTTGTGTCAAAAGTCAACCCACATGTACAGATAAATCATTAACATGGTAAACTAGGGTCAGGTTATCGAGGCGACCCCGAAAAGCAACTCAAACAGATCAAGAATCTGTAAAACATCTCATCAGTCGACTGATGTGTCGACTGATGACGTCAGTCGACTCATATGTCGACCGGTAAGGCTCAGGCAGCACAACCTCAGCTCACCAGTCGACTGATCAGTCGACTGAGAAGCTGAGAAAACACAATCAGCCCGTCAGTCGACTGATCAGTCGACTGATGACTGAAAATTTTCCCGTCGGTTGACTGATCAGTCGACCGATAGACTGCAGAAACTCTGTACAGGTTGTTATTTACCCAAAATTCGATCTAAACTCATCCCCATCAATCCTAAGCATGAAAAATACTGATATTAACATGTATGAACTAAACTGAAACAAAAATCTCATGTGTGAATACATAAGCAAAACCCTAAACATGTGTATTTATGTTTTAAAACAATTTTAAAACAAAGCTCATGTTAAATCTCTTATAAAAACATTTCAGATCTAGATCTTTGATTCACAAAAACGTTGGTGGGTTTTTAACATTCTGAAATCACATATCTTCCCACTATATGCTATAAAAATCAATTCTTTGTACAAAAATTACATTTTTGGCTCATTAAAACTCATAAAAATCCTTTGAAAACGTTTAGAAAAATAGGACAAGGTTGAGCGAGATGTTACTCGCCTCTGGGGTGATGAGAAACTCTTGGATCTGAGAGAGAGTGATTCCCTTTCGCTGCAATGTGAAGATCTCGACGAAAATCCTCCAAGTTCTTCCCCAAATCACCAAGAACAAAACTAGGGTTTGAGATAGGGGAGAGGGGGCTAGGGTTTTCTCAGATCTGAAGATGAGAGGGGTGATTTCGGGTGAAAACGAATATATGTGAACAGCTAAACCCGACCCAAACCCGAACCAAAACAAAACAGACCCGAAACCTAAAAAACTGGAAATCAGCGTATCAGTCGACTGATGTGTCGACTGATACAGTCAGTCGACTGATGTGTCGACTGATCTGGAAAATTTCAGTTTTTGTGCATGTTTTGCTTATTTGCAAAACCAACGCACAAAACTCTACACCCATACTCTTATATCATCTCAAATAACTTGTTATCATGCACTTCAATGACCTCAAGCTATTTATCATAAAAAAATTATTTATTTACTAATAATTCACATATATTCATATAAAAATTACGGGGTTCTACACAACATCATTCTGTTGTGGAGTATACGATATTGTTGTATACCTTTTAATTTCATGCTAGATATAATAACTCTCAATTTCTTTAGAGTTATATTCTCCACCTCTATCAGTTCTCAAATTTTTAATTTTTAATCCAAGGTTATTTTCAACTTCTGTCTTATACCTCTTAAAGCAGTCAAAAGCTTCTAATTTTCTGGATATAAGATAGGTGTGTGCAAACTTAGAATAATCATCTATAAAAGTAATAAAATATTCTTTATTACTATGAGTTTTTACATTTAGGGGACCACAAATAGCCGAGTGTATCAACCCTAAGAGTTCATTGGCTCTTTGTCCGCCAATGTAAGATTTTCTAGTCATTTTACTAGTTAAACAATGTTCACATTATGGCAATTGAACATTAGATAGTGCATGAAGCAAGTTCATTCTGATAATTTCTTTTATTTTTGAAATACTAGCATGTCCTAATCTAGAATGCTATAATTCAGACTCAGAAATATAACATGACAAGTAATTTAAATTCAAAATTTTATTATCAAAATTATTATAAACTACTGGAAGAATACATAATTCATGCTCAGGCACATATTTCCCATAGCATACACTTTATTATTATTGCCTATGGAAACTCGGTTATTGTAGAACCTAACTTCCAGTCCTTTCTTCATTAAGCTGGGAACAGAAATCAGATCGCGCCGAATTTTTGGCGCATAAAACACATCTTTGAGGACAGGAACACTATCCCCAAGATCCAATCTATACGAAGTAATACCTTCCACATCGAGATATGTATTATTTTCCATATAGATTATCTGTTCTCCTTTCTTCAGCTTGGTGAATTTTGTGACCATATTCTTGTCATTTGTGATATGTCTAGTCGCACCGGAGTCGATCCACCAACCGCTAATATCCGTCATCACAGCATTGCATTCTGTCACACCGACGAATTCTATTTTGCTATTACCTCCTTGTTCTGGATGCTTATAGCCTCCCTTATTCTCCTGCTTTTCACCTTGTGGGCAATTGGACTTAAAATGCCCGAATTTTCCACAATTGTACCAGGCTCCGCAGGATACTTTCTTTTTCTTGAACTGCTGTGACTTCGGTCCTCACGGTTATGGTTTACTAGGACCAGGGTTTTTATAGCTTCCAGCATTATGTCTCTGGCAAACATAATTCAGCTCTTGCTGTACCATATTCAGTTATGGTTCTTTCCTACTGGATATTAATTCTATGTTCTATCGCTAGGTGCTTAGGAAGATTAGTGACAGATTTAACGACATGGTTCATTTTCAATGTGGTGACAGTCACAGCAAGGGAAGGGGTACACTATTCAAAATGGCTACCACTTGCATTCTTTCTGGGATTTCGGTCCCAAAAGAAGATAAATCTTTAGCCATGACAATCATTTTATTTATATGCTCTACGACATTGTCTCCCTCTTGCATACGACAAGAATTATACTTATGCAAGAGTAGTTGAATGTTAACTTCAAAAACGATGTCGTACTTTTCTTTTATTGCATTTCACATGTCCATGGAAGTCTTATAAGTTTTAAAAACTTTGATCAAATTATCTTCCATGAACATGAGCATAAGGCTTTTCGCCTTTTTGCCTTTCGACTTCCACTGTTCAAACACTTTCTTTTCTTCAGGTGTTGATTTATCAGTAAGGGTTGGAACAGTGGTTTGGATTACATCATTAATATTGTCATGAATAAGAGCATATCTTATTTTTTTATGTCACAGATCATAATTACTATTATTAAATTTATCAATTTTTCCTAGTTTGGTAGAACGAGTTTACTAGCCATTCGATAAAGAACTAAAACTAAATTCAATTTTAAAAAATGTATAAGGTTGATATTTTGACAATTAGACTATAAAAAAAGTTAGAAAATAAATAAATTAAAATGAACCTGATTCTAACTCCTCTTGCATAAGGTTGAAAATTGTATAAGGTTGATTAGCTCATTTTAACCACACAAAAAGTTCAGACATCATATTTTGAACACCTAACAAAAAAGACGGGTCGCATGATTACCGAATTCCAAACAATAAAAGGAGAGAGAAACGTCTTGCACAATTTTTATTTTTTTAAAAGTAATTTCTCAGGAAATTTGTTAAATCTTGATAGTTTAAAAGTTCGGCATCAGGTAAGTCTGATTGAGAGAATGGTGATCTATGATATAGAGGAGTGGCTCATAATCAACCTCTGCTCATCTAAAGTAAGGTTTCACAGTGAATCCAGTACTTTTTAATTATTTTTTTATTCTAGTAAATTTCTACAATAATTTATTATTGTTAACTCTAGAGATATAATCTAGTACTTTGTTCTAACCTTGTATGCATTCTCATCTCTGAGATGTCACTACATGACAATGCATGCTTACTCAGGGCCAGCCCTAAGGGCAGGCGGAATTGGAAAAGTAAGAGGATTTTTATGCAAAAGTGTTAGAGGCTATAAATACAAAAACGAAAAACTCTTGGTCTCTCCGATTTCCGATGTAGCCGTCTGATCGCCGACCTCTCTTCTTATTCTCTGACTCTCTCTGAAGTGACGTTTCTTCTTCCTGACTCCATCTGAACCGTCCGCAGTCCGCTCCTCCGTCGTCAAACTCCACGACGCCGTCTCCGGCGACTCCCTCCACCCCTCCCACCAGCAAGGCAAACGCGACCTCACCGCCAGTGCCTTTGCCCTTTGGAGACTCTGTCTCTGTCTGCCATCTGCACCTTCTCTGGCCGGCGACTCCGTCAAGGTTACAAGGTATATAAGTATATTTGAATAATTGAATATTTCTATAATTCTATACAGATAACAGACTATACTTAGAATAGCATGATATCTTTGTTTCATCACTTCATGACCTAATAATACTTTTGCTTTGTTATTGATTCTATACAGCAAGAATCTGTGCATAACATTATTAACATACATGAATTAGTTGTATAAACAAAGTATGAATCTGTGCATAACATATATGAAATTATGAATCAGACTATACTTAGTATATTTGCTGATTAGTGATTAATCAATTGAAACAAAAAACCATAATATGCATACAGGTTGTATAATCAAAGTGCGGTACCTGAACAATGAAAATCAGTAGCTAGTGATCCATACTTCAAATGATTGCATCGTGTCCCAAAAAAATCTTTAAGTCCAAACTTTGTTTTTGTCTATTGAATAGGAAGAAGAGATAAAAGTGCATCTTTTAGGATTCAGGCGTGTTGATCTGAAATTTGTTTGAAGTTAAACTATTCAAATTTCAAGGTAATTTTATAACTTTATAAATTATAATATTTGTTGATCTTATGTATTTTAGTATTTGTATATAATTTTTTGTTGATTTGAAATTTGCATTGTTGATTGATCATATTTTTTTAGCGTTCATCATGCTTCCTAGAAAGTATAGTTCTGGACATGAAAAAATAAAAAAGAAACAAAAATTGGAAAAATTGAAAAAGTCTCAAGCAGGAGCGTTGGATAAGTTTTTTAGTGGTAGACATACAGAGCATGATAACGAAGAACATAATAATGAAGAAAATCAAAATGAAGAACAGAAAAATGATATAAATTGAAGAACCTACTGAATACAATATGAATATTGAAGAACCTGCAGAAGATGATAGAAACATTGAGGAACCTGCTCAACTTAGGATTGAGAGTGTCAATGAAAACATGAATGTTGACAATCCAGCAAACTGGGGCAATATTGATAAAAAATTGAGAGATCTTTTAGTAGAAAGAGGACCCAAAAGAGTTGTTATTAATTTTCCTAGAGATATTGAAGGCAGACATTTCTCTTCCGCTCATTACACTCGACAATGGTTAAATGGAGAGAAACATGATAGGAGATGGCTAATATATTCAACTTCTTTGAATGCGGTATTTTGCTTTTGTTGCAAATTATTTAGAAAAGATGGAAACAAGAATCAAATGGGTTCTTTGGTTAATGAAGGATTTAAAAATTGGAAGAATCTTAGTCATAGACTTCAAAGTCATGAAGGGAGTAGTGATCACATAAGTTGCATGAGAAGTTGGATTGAATTGGAAATGAGATTGCGTAATATTAAAATAATTGATAAAAGTGTGCAAGAAATATTAAACAAAGAGAGAGAATATTGGAGACAAGTATTATTAAGAATAGTTGTTATTGTAAAAACACTTGCTAAAAACGGTTTAGCATTTCGCGGGGATAATGAGAAGATTTATCAAGAGAACAATGGAAACTTTTTAAGTTTAATTGAAATGATTGCCGAATTTGATCCGGTAATGAAAGTGCATATTCGACGTTATCAAAGTGGTGAATCTCATAAGTATTATCTCAGTCATAAAATTCAAAATAAACTGATAGGAATGTTAGCGGGAGAGATCAAACATACAATGATCAAAATAATCAAAGAAGCGAAATATTTTGCTGTTATACTAGATTTTACTCCAGATATAAGCCATGAAGAACAAATGACTCTTATAATAAGATGTGTGGATGTTTCAGAAAGTCCAGTAAAGGTAGAAGAGTTCTTTCTAGAATTTCTTAAGGCCGACGACACGTCAGGACTGGGACTTTTTAGTGAACTTGAAGATGTATTGAAGATTCTGGAACTTGACATTTCTAATGTAAGAGGACAAGGGTATGACAATGGATCTAATATGAAAGGAAAAAATAAAGGTGTGCAGAAAAGACACCTCGAAGTAAATCCTAGAGCATTCTACACTCCATATGGTTGCCATAGTCTTAACCTCGTACTTTGCGATATGGCAAACTCTTGTCCGAAAGCTATATCTTTTTTTGGAGTGATACAACGTTTATATACTTTGTTTTCATCTTCTACTAAGCGGTGGGATATTTTCAAAGAACATGTTTCTGGTCTCACACTTAAGCCATTGTCACAAACACGGTGGGAAAGTTATGTTGAAAGTGTAAGAGCAGTAAGATTTCAAGCTATAGAAATAAGAAATGCTTTAATTCACTTGGCAAGTATCGATGGAGATCCAAAAATAAAGAGTGAAGCTGAGTCCTTAGCAACAAATGAAATTGAGAATTTTGAGTTCTTATTGGGTATGATTGTTTGGCACAATTTATTATTTTCTATTAATTTTGTTAGCAAATTTTTGCAAAAGGAAGACATGCAAATTGATATTGCTATAGATCAATTGAATGGGCTTATATTATTTTTTTGAAAAGTACAGAGAAAATGGATTTAAGGAGGCCATTACTGAAGCTAAAAAGGTTGCATCTGAAATAGAAATTGAAGCTGTATTTCGTGAAAAGCGTATCATTCGCAGGAAGAGGCAATTTGATGAAAGTGCTACTGAAGAGACAATATTATCTCCTGAAGAATCATTTAGAGTTAAATACTTTCTATATATAGTGGATCAAGCTATTTCTTCTTTTAAGAGTAGGTTTGAACAATTTTGGTATTATGAAGAAGTCTTTGCGTTTTTTATTTGATTTGAAGAAATTCAACATTGTTGATGATGCTAGTTTGAAGGCTTATTGTGCGAAACTTGAAGAATTTTTAAAGCATGACAGTCATTTTGATATTGACGGCGAAGATTTATTTTTAGAGTTAAAACTTTTGAGAGAATACTTACCAAAAGAAACAAAAAAGCAATTGATGTGCTGAATTATTTGAAGAAATTGGATGGTACTTTTCCGAATGCTTGGATTGCTTACAGAATATTGTTGACCATACCTGTTACTGTTGCCTCTGCAGAAAGAAGCTTTTCAAAGTTAAAATTGATCAAATCTTATCTTCGATCAACTATGTCACAAGAAAGATTGAATGGCTTAGCTATATTGTCAATTGAGAAAAATGTAGTGGAGAAGCTTGATTATACAAGTTCAATTAATAATTTTGCATCTAAAAATGCAAGAAGATGCTTCATAAAGTGATACTTCTATTGGTTCATTGATCTTGTTTTGGGAATGAGAGTGTTAGGGTGTGACTTGTAGGCCTTTGGTCAGAGTGGGTAGCTTAGAAGAACTACATTGTGTTTGATTCTTGGGGTTAGTTATAATATCTCTTGGTATGTAGGCAGCCCTAAAGTTACTTGGGTGCAACATTTTTTTTTTTTTAAATCTTAAATATAGGAGGGCCCCTTTAAGATTTTTGTTCAAGTTTTTGCCTAGGGCCCCCGAATGCTCAGGACCGGCCATGTGCTTACTCTTGCTCTGTTACGTATTGTTCATTGATTACTCTTGCTCTGTTACGTATTGTTCATTGATTTTACTTGCTAATATTTACCATTGGTTTTTATTTCATTAAGAAGCCTTACATATATATACTTTAATTGTGGCATTGAGGTTGACCAAAATTACTGTATTCACGGAGGCTAGGGGTGTATTAATTCTAAATATTTACTTACCAGGATTGTATTATAACCATTAATGTATCATATCTACATGCAATTTTCAAGAGCATATTCACAGGTGGTTGCCAGAAAATAAGTAATGCAGGTAATTAATTGTCTTATTTTTATTATAACGTAACAGTTAGTTTTAGCATATTGGCTTTTGGTGTTTACTACTGCGCACGATATTTTGGAAACATACGCAGATGTTATCAGCTTGGTCCCCTCACCCGCAGCAAACTAACCATATCAACAGTACAGCTTCAACTCATGTGTGGCAATTACTAATTGAACAATTTTTCAAAACAGTTCCAAAAATATTTTTATTTTTCAAAATCGACCCGATTTTTTTTATTTATCAAAATCGACCCACTTTTTGCCACATGGGCTTAATGAAGTTCCTAAACAGTCGGGGTTAGTAACTCCGACTGTTTAGGAGGGTGTTAAACCCCAATTAGAACCCTTAAACCCGAAATTTTCATGTTCTAAACAGTCGGGGATATCCTAAACAGTCGGGGTTGACTGTTTAGGAACGTCATTAAGCCTACGTGGTAAAAAGTTGATCGATTTTGATAAATAAATAAATAATGGGTCGATTTTGAAAAAAAAATTTGGGGCTGTTTTAAAAAATTCCTCTTACTAATTTATTTTTGCCTCATTTGAGACCGTACGTCGGATATATTTATGTTGGGTTTGGATTCTTGTAAACGCATGAAACCTTGTGAAACATACAAGATTTCATGTTCTTGTTGACGTAACTAACGTTGTAAGAAGGGTAGCACTAGGACCACACCTCCAACCACACCTCCAACCACATCCCCTCTCTTATTTGCTACAGTGTATCGGGCCCCACATGTGATTTTTAAAATTTAAAATCACGTGGGACCTGATGCACTGTAGCAAATGAGAGAGGGGGTGTGGTTGGAGGTATGGTTGGGGGTGTGCCCCTATCATTTTCCTTGTAAGAAATGTTCATGTTCCACACATAAAATAGGAGTGAATAGGGAACTTGAATAGTGTTGCTTGGGTCCCTTCATTTATGCTCGCCAAATTTTATAGTTCCTAGATATATATATATATTTTTTACAAGTTGAAACTTAATTTTGTGATAATTTTGTGATGTTCAATGTAGTTCTAAGTCTCGGACACGCAAGCATGGAATCTCCTTTCAGTGTAAGTATGAAATCTCCTTTCTGTGTAAGCGCATATATATGGAAATGCAATTGGAATTTTAGTTATTAGGCTTGGTTGTCATAATAGCTATGAGACCTTTTTAAGGCTTCATATATTGCCATAATTTTCATTATGAAACCATACTTTTATTTTCTTCTCTTCTCTCCTTAGCTAAATTTATATCGGTGCATTGTTTCTAGTTCGTTTCCTCATCTTTGGCTCTTTGATAAGATTAGTCCTAAAGGCTGTCAGCAGTGAAAGAGCATATCTATATCAAGTCATCAAGAGGCGTCTTCCAAGTTTTTATGTCCATTTGTAAGGATGATTCCCATTGGCATAGAAGAAATTTTGTGGCAATTGAGTCCTTTTCATAAAATATGTTTTAAATGTAATAATTTTTTTTAAAAAAAATATGTACTTGTCATTATTTATATTTAAAAAAAAATAAAAACCATTTATCAACGGTTCTTTCCGTTCTTAATACACATTGGAATTTGCTAACTTGAAATTTCATCTTCTGTCAAAGAAACTCTAATAGCAACGGTTCATTTATATGCAACGGTTGTAAACCGTTGCAAGCTGCAAATAGCTAATTGTAATGGTCTTATTAGCAGTGAACTATTTGTAACAGTTTTAACCGTTGCTAATTTATTAGAAGTGGTCCAAATAGTTACTAATAGGCCTATTAGCATCGATTTGAACCGTTTCTTATAGGTGTGTTTGTAGTAGTGAAAATGGTACAATCTTCGCAAATGAATTCAGCCACCCTGGGGATTATAACTTGGGGGGCGGGTGTGGTGGTTAGTTAAGAGGAGCTATAAACTAGAGCTGGGATAATTAATTTATAGGATAAATTTATATAATGTTAGTCAATCAGAACTTTTATTGGGATAAAATTTTACAGTGTTAGTTAACTAGAACTCTAACAAAACTAGAACTGAGATAATTGTACAAAATTATCCTACCTTTTTATTTTTCAATACAAAAATGAGAGTTCTAGTCTCTCAAATTATCCAAAGTTTTAGTTTGGAACTAGGTAGTAAAAAACTAGAACTCCTATTTATTTTTTTATTTTTTTTTCTTTGCTTCTTTCCTACTATGGTCATCACGATCATTAGACCATGCCATTAGATCAAATCTCGTCTCCTCTTAGTCATCTCTAATATTTTCTTTTTTACCTAATATTATAATTATATAATTAATTTAGGAAAATGTGAAAAACTTTTTTTAGACTTGTATTATAATAATAATTATAAAATAAAAAAACTACAACATATATTATAATAATAATTGTTAATACCTTATAGTCTAACTAAAAAACATTCTCATAAACACTTATCACTCAATAATAGTATGTTTAAAATACATAAATAGTATTTATATCCTTAAAATGCATAAATATATATTTCATAATTATAAAATTTTATTTCACTTTATCTTATCAAAATATCTCACTTCACAAAATTATTCCTATTTATCCCACTAAAATATCCCACTAGCAAAAACTATTCAATTTTAATAATTATCCAATTGACTAACACCCCCAAAAATGTCATGTGAATTTGAGGACAATAATTTTGGTATATATTTATTGTATAATATCTAATATTTAAAGTGAAATATTTATCTTATTTAACATAAGACTAATATGGTTATAATTTATAATATATATAAGCTCTTATGTTTAGTGCAAGAATCATTATAGTGTAATAAATAGAATAAATTGAATAAAATTTCAGGAATGTGATTAAAATTTATAATATATATTTAGTTTTTAATACTAGTTCTCATGTTTATTGCAAGAATTATAAATATAGTGTAATAAATAGAATGAATTGAATAAATTTCGAGGCATTGTTGAGAATTAACAAAGTTTGGAAGGACAAAGTGTCAATCAAAAGTTTTAATAACTCAATCCTCTTTTATAAGTAGTATAGATAATATAGGGAGCAACTAGTTGGTGGATAATACTTTCTCCTTCTCCACTTATTTCTTTAAATTGTTCTAATAAATACTCACAACCTCAATTAATCCATAGCAATTTTATGCGTCTATCAAACTGATTATCAATATAATTCAAGGTACGCTAAAGCAACCTTGCGGTTCAAAATTTTGTGGAATCAGATAAACGCAAACATAGCGTGCGGATTCGCGGATTCATCTAGAGTAATATAAGGTCCAGACTGAACTTTCATATTGATTGAAATTAGAGTTTTTAACAGAGAGTTAAAATAAGACTAAGTCTACATCTTGAAGGTTGTTGTAAATATAAATACAATGAATGTGGACATTATTAGAAAAAGACTCTTCACCTACTTGTGACTTTTAGTATTCTCTTCCACATCTATATAATGTAATCCATGGAAGACAAAATGAATTGATGGAGGAATGAGGAAGATGAATAAAATGAGAATTGCTTTTCTCCCTATTTCTTCTCTTGTCTATTTACATTTACATTTCATGTTTGATTCTTACTTTTGATATGTGATGTATGTAGATACAACAACGAGATTACAACACGTTATCAGCACGAAAGCTCTAGCTAGCCGGTTTGTACTCGTCAGGAAGGCTGTCAACTGCTAGCTCTGCAGTGGGTTAGGGTTTCATAGTTCCAACGATTCCATGCGTCAAGAGAGCTAGACTTCGACGAGTACGATTACTTGGAGAAAATAGTGGAGGACGTCGAGATCCCCAAGGAGAAGAGGAAGGACGACTATTGAAAGAGATATTTATGAGTTTTTCTCGAAAGCCGGAAAGGTCAACCTGTGATGGTTAAACCGTCGGAAGCATAAAAGAATCAATTTATGTTGGCAATCTGTATTTCAACATTTCAGAAGATCAACTTCGTAAGGTTTGTCTTATAATCCATAAAGTTTAATGGTATTTAACTTGCATTTGGCCAATCAATGTTTGCCAAGGCTGATCATGCTTTTAAAAGAGATTTGCATTCATTTTATTTCATATATAACTAAAGTAGTTAAATGGTTTTAAGAACTGATAGGGAATGATTTTTTACTCATAAGTGTATTTCCATCTTATGCAAAACTCACAGTTTAGAGCTTGCCATTTCATAGCACATCTCTGCGTTTATAAGCGGTCCATTTTTTAATTGCTAATTACACTGATTCTCCTTCTCCACTGAAATTATGCAATATTAGTTTTCTATCCAAAATTGTCTTAGTGGAGTTTCGAATCTTGCCAGAAGCAAACATTTGAAAGATAACATTTATGAAGATCTTTAGAAAAAGGAGCTTGGTGATTTTGGTAATCTTATTAAAATGTGA